CCCTTCAGAAGGCATTGCGTTGCACATTTTTATGGTGGAGCCATGAGTTGATGACGTTTAGTCGACTAAACCCCCTTTCACCGTTGCCAGAATGTTATGATGCTTATATTATGTAGGGTGTAGTGGGGTAGCTCATAAGGGGTACAACCCAATTAGGGTTAGTACTTGTACCCACATTGATCATAGTTCATTTATTCTTGCTCAGTCTCTTGACATGGTTACAGAGCAGGTCTTGTTTCAGGACCGTGTTTTTTGGGACCACCGCATAGTTCCCTGCCAGTAGCGCTGCCCCACTAGTCGCGCTGCCCCACTAAAGTCCGTATAACAATTGCAAATTCGTATAGGTAGTTGGTCCACCATTCGTAGAAAGCAAAGCGTTCATAGTAGTACAAAGTCTTTCTAGACAGCACCAAACCTATTGATGAACGACAAGGACCGACGATCAAAGGAACGGACAATATGTAGCGTGCGAATGATCGACTTTGCCTCTACCACTTGAAACTTCACCTCCCGTTGCGCCTCACGCAACAGAGTGCATGACGTCAAACCGTCGACGTCACCAACGTCATAATACCGCACGTAAGCAAATGGTTTCTTCACGACTCGTCCGTCCTGCACAATGTCCACATGGAAGAGTAGCAGAAGCTGTGCATACCACGTCGTGAGAATGCGGGCGCCCATGTGACCATCTTCTTCCCCGAGGATGGCCACGTATGAGAAGCAAGGTGCATCATGGTAGGTCAGAGCAGCACGGGCGTAATGCGCCTCAAAGTCATCGCCAGGGGGCAGGGCCAACGTCGTGTGGACCTGTCAGTCAAGAGATGTCGTGTGTTAAACACCGGTTAATAGACATGGGGATGTGATGCGAGATGAATGTGTGAAAATACATGCTTACCTCCACACTGTGACAATCTATGCCGATGTTTTGGAGCATACTCGGCAGTCTGCGCATTCCGGCCCCATGGTGCTCTACAAAAGAACCCCACAAAGCATTGCCCGCTAACCCCCTCTCTTGACATGGTAGAGTCATCGTCTGGCTGCGGGTGGTCAAGACTTGGGTTTTTAGAGTGATAGCCTGTAGTCATGAAAAATGCGAAATAATAACGTGCTTCAATGGACATTAATACACACTTTTCTAACAAGGGAATGAACATATGTGTTTCTAGAATCATACGCAGTTGTCCAACAAATGAATACTTACTTTCTGCAGAGCAGTCTCGTAGATGCTATGCTTCTCCAACATCGTAGGGAGCAACGATAGAGCATTTCGCATCACTGAGCTCTGAAGGATGGCGGTGTCGTATTGCCGATGGTTGCTTGCTCTGAACGGCCTCTTGCACGTGGCGGTGTGCGCGTGTTCAAACAGGCTTGTGCAATACTCCCGAGGAAGGCCTCCCTGGCGGATGGCATCCGGGAAGTGGAGCAGCAGGTGTACCTTCACCAATTTCCAGCCATTGCCGCCCCGAGGGAGGTTGCTATTGAGCAAGCGGATGAGCATAAAAAGGAAACAAGTCGGAAACAGGAAGGCATAACATTTTCCAATCGAGGTCAACATATTTCACATATTTTCATTACAGTTTCCATAGCACAGAAACAGGCGCATCTAGATCTTACTCTTGGGTATCCTTAATGTATTGCGTCAGCATTGCCTCGGTGTATGACTTTGCCCGAAAGTACACGTCAAACCAGTTGACAAAGAACCGTAGGATGTACAGCGCCGCACTTCCAACTAGGTTTTCCATGATGAACACCACTACCTGCAGATCAAGTGTAACAGGAATAGAAGGGAGAATTCTCATTACGCATAGAGGGGTTGCATCACCCTATTTGGGACGCTTGTGTTAAAGAGAACAGAGTTGATGTAGAATCATCGTTGTACCGAGCCATGTACTAGTTGTCAACATGTCAAACGTTAAACTACTTACTCGCAGCATTGCAGCATGATCGGCTGCTGAAAAGTTGGCACCAAGACTGAAGTACCGTCCTGGAGGTGGAAGTGGAATGCCTGCCGCTCTAGCTTCTCTGTAAAGGTCCCTGTGTCTCCTGTAACGTTATCGCACACAGAAAGTTTGAGAGGGGTGTAACAGGAATATATGGCGATAAACAGAGCTGCAATTCCACATCACTCACTCATTCATGGTCTTTATGTTCTTGTTATTCCATACTAGAGCCTCCAGAATGTACACCCAGATCCCAATGAGGATGACATGAAGTACATCGGGTGAGATGACCTTGTAGGGATTACCCCTGTTGGTTTTCGCGTCCTGCTGTCTTCCAAAATGCCACAAGAAGCTCTGGAACGGGTCACACGAACAACATATTAACCGTTTGTAAATACACGGCACAAACAACTGCAACATACGTTTAGGACATTCAATCATGTAAAAAGGAGAATGTTGGACAGCTCGCTAACACTTATATCATAGAAACAGGAGGGTATTTACAATAAAAGGCATGCGCTAAGTTTACACTCACGTCCATCATGACTGTAGAGTACTCCTTTGCGAGTTTTGGGTCCTTCGCATATATAGACTGCCTCTCGACATCCCGGTTGTCAATGATGTCCGGATCCATGTGATCCAACTTCGACTTCTCCACATAGCATATTGAGCAAGGTCTTGCGGAGTTGTGTTGCATAGTGCAGGTCACTTTACACGTCTCTGGATAATCTGCAACGTATTGGAAGAGCTTGGGCCACACGGTGAACACCTTGCCGTTGGGGTCCGTTAAGGGCAATGATCTGCACCGCACGAACACATAAATTTTAGATATCTTACCACATACATACAAGGAGACAACACAAGGGTGTAAAACGTACGTCTTGCACAGCCCACTGAGGCCTTTGAAAACAACATCACAAGATTTCTGAAACAACTCCACCTTCTGCCATGCCTCCATTTCTGGATCAGGTTGTGGCAGAAGTGCGATGAGGGCGTGACCATGCTCCTTCCATCGTGTCTCGACGGGGAGATTGGCAAACGTCAAGTACACCGGCCAAGCCCGGCAGCGCTCGTTCCCACTAAGTGTGGTCTCATCGCTCGAAAGAATGAGCGGACACACACATTCAGTCGGAATCTTCCCTTGCTGGGGTGGGAAGACAATAAGAAAGGTTAGACAACACATTAGGTTTTTGTTCATCATGCACACATAACATCTACGCACTAAGAACCCAAGGGACATATGTACCTGAGCTCCCAGCCAAAAATTCCCCGTGTCTGCCCCTTCAAACACACGACCCTCATTCGTCATTTTGACGTGTGGCTTGTGGATGAAGCCTGGAGCATTGCGCATGTCCCCCCACATTCTTTCCAGGGCCTGCAACATGGGAAAGATTAAGAGAATGATCAGTCAAACACACAACGGAAGGGTCCGACTGCGTGTGTGTGTCCATCATGAAACTGTGTGTGTGAGTCTATCATCAATTCTGATCAATAATACCTGCTTGATGTCGACACTCTTGACGGTGAAGCTGGATGGCCACCCTCGAACCGAGATGAGGTGCGACTGAAACTGAAGCTTGTCGATTCCAAGCATCTGCATGCCGTAAGCATCTACAGCGGCCTTAGTTGACCATCCTAGCAATTCCGATGGATCGAAGTCCGGATCTTTAACTAGTCTAAAGAAATAACTTGTGTCGGGAGCGCTAGCGCCCGTCCCTTTGTTACACGACTGCAAGAACCTAAATGTCTCTAAACGGGTGTTAAACTTCCTAGGCTCCTCCTCCTCCCCAAACTCGGCTTGGGCATCATGGAAGTCGTCTATGTCGATGCAATCATCCCCAACTACAGGCTCTGCTTCACACGGTGCAGATTGCGCCCCAAACACGAATGGTAACGGTGGTGGTAGGTATACAGGCTGCAAAGGAGGGACTAGAATTCCCCTACGAGTCGGCGGAGTTTCAAACGCATTCCTCTCCTGAATTGCTAAACACTCCTGATTGCACCGTTGGTGATTCACTAGAGCTAGGTCGCACTGGTATTTTTTACCGCAATGACGACACACGAAGATATCCATCTTGGGGCTCTGGGATCTGCGAGAATAACCCAAAAACAAGTCCGTTACTCAACATCAGACGTGGTGTTGGGCATACATTGATGAAAGGATGACAAGGCAGAGACTCACCAAAGCCACAAGCCTTATGTCGTCATAGATATGAGCACGACGTCTATCCAAGTCTGCACGAGTGGACCTTGTGGCAACAGAAGCCTGCAAAATTCACTAGACAAAAGATTCAACATTGACACTCGTATATGCACTTTGAAAACAACAAAATGATTCACACAGGCATAAGCATTACATGGAAACGCAGTAGTCCATCTCGGACCTGCCGCCAGAGGCTAAGATCTCTCCGATGTAACGGCACATTCACACTAGTCAGGTACACTGGCCACTGGAGGCGTGGGGAAGAGCCAACAGAGACACCAATGTCTCCCAGCGCCACTAACAACAAAGGCCATAGCCTCCAGTTTGAATGTGGTACTGGCAGCGAGACGCTCCACACCACCCGTGAGGCCTCCTCGGGCTCAACCAGCGGCGGCATGTCGTCATCGAGTTCATTACCTGTTGAAACAACCTCCGACTCCACTCTGCATTAAATCACAATGCAACAATTTGGAGAGTGATTGTTACACACATAAATAAAACAGTTAAGGCACATATGACCTGACTTGGATTAGCTTGTACAACAACAAACCCAACTCCCGGCGATTACTCACATGTATTGGGCAGGGTCGACCATGTGTAGCGCGGGACGAGCCTGCCCGGCACTCGTCAGGATACTTGTGTAGTAGCTTCGCTCAGAATGGGATCCTGCATGAGAAAAAATCGTAGCAGTTGGTTAGAACATGGATGGGGATGGCAAAGTTCGTTGGATGGCAAGAGACCGGCGGTCAAATGACGGGAGAGGGAAACAGGAATAGAATGGGGTTAGGAAAGGGGCGGGTTTGGCAAACGTCGGGTATTGGGATGGAAAAAGAGAGGCGCCAGTCAAGGGTGGTTTGTCACCCGCGAGGAATATGCGAGTGGGGATGGTAAGGGAGAGAGTGGGTGGGGATGGTAAGGGAGACAGTGGATAGGATGGTAAGGGAGAGAGTGGGTGGGGATGGTAAGGGAGAGAGTGGGTGGGGATGGTAAGGGAGAGAGTGGGTGGGGATGGTTAGGGAGAGAGTGGGTGGGGATGGTAAGGGAAAGAGTGGGTAGGGATGGTAAGGGAGAGAGTCGGTGGGGATGGTAAGGGAGAGAGTGGGTGGGGATGGTAAGGGAGAGAGTGGGTGGGGATGATAAGGGAGAGAGTGGGTGGGGATGGTAAGGCAGAGAGTGGGTAGCGATGGTAAGGGAGAGAGTGGGTAGGGATGGTTAGGGAGAGAGTGGGTGGGGATGGTAAGGGAGAGAGTGGGTAGGGATGGTAAGGGAGAGAGTGGGTGGGGATGGTAAGGGAGAGAGTGGGTGGGGATGGTTAGGGAGAGAGTGGGTGGGGATGGTAAGGGAGAGAGTGGGTAGGGATGGTAAGGGAGAGAGTCGGTGGGGATGGTAAGGGAGAGAGTGGGTGGGGATGGTAAGGGAGAGAGTGGGTGGGGATGGTTAGGGAGAGAGTGGGTGGGGATGGTAAGGGAGAGAGTGGGTGGGGATGGTAAGGCAGAGAGTGGGTAGGGATGGTAAGGGAGAGAGTGGGTGGGGATGGTAAGGCAGAGAGTGGGTAGGGATGGTAAGGGAGAGAGTGGGTGGGGATGGTAAGGCAGAGAGTGGGTAGGGATGGTAAGGGAGAGAGTGGGTGGGGATGCTTGCCAATCAACTCACTCGATGCGCTGCTCTTGAGTCGAGATAGGCCGAGGGTTCATCGATCAGATAGATGTCGGCAGGCTGGAGAAACGAGAAAGTGGAAGAGGGGGAGAAAGGGGAAAAAGGGGAGGATGAACCGCTTGATGACCGTGGCTGCCACAATGCGCTGCTCTTGAGTCGAGATAGGCCGATGGATCGTCAATGAGGTAGATGCCACCAAGGCAGAGGGAAATAGCAACGCACCTTCCCAAAGCAGAGGGAAATAGCCACGCACCTTCCCAAGGCAGAGGGAAATAGCCACGCACCTTCGCAAGGCAGAGGGAAATAGACACGCACCTTCCCAAGGCAGAGGGAAATAGCGAAGCACCTTCCCAAAGCAGAGGGAAATAGCCACGAACCTTCCCAAGGCAGAGGGAAATAGCCACGCACCTTCCCAAGGCAGAGGGAAATAGCCACGCACCTTCCCAAGGCAGAGGGAAATAGCGACGCACCTTCCCAAAGCAGAGGAAATAGCCACGCACCTTCCCAAGGCAGAGGGAAATAGCCACGCACCTTCCCAACGCAGAGGGAAATAGCCACGCACCTTCCCAAGGCAGAGGGAAATAGCCATGCACCTTCCCAAGGAATAGGGAAATAGCCACGCACCTTCCCAAAGCAGAGGGAAATAGCCATGCACCTTCCCAAGGCAGAGGGAAATAGCCACGCACCTGCGGGTGGTGGAACGAGTCGCGGATCTTGGAGTGCAGCAGCGCGCGCACGCTGTGGGGGAACTTGGGGGAGATCTTCTGCGGCTTGTACGACACGTTGAACTCCGGGAGGTCCTCGGCCTCCTTGCCGGTCTCCTCGTCCGGGTCAGCCTTTAAGAGACCAGCCTGTAAGCGGTTGAGAAGGACACAGGAGAGCGGAAAGGAGAGGAACGAGAGGGTATGAGAAGGGGAACTTGCGGCTGATCTTCTGCGGCTTGTACGACACGTTTAACTCCGGGAGGTCCTCAGCTTCTTTCCCGGTCTCCTTGTCTGGATCTGTCTTCAAGAGGCCGGCCTGGAGGGGTTCAGAACGAGACAGGAGAGGAGAGGGGAGGAGGGAGGAGAGTAACGCAGAAAACTTGGGGCTAGGCTGGTCTTCTGCCGCCTGTACGACACACTGGAATCCGGGAGATCTTCGGCTTCCTTGCCGGTTGATTCGTCCGGGTCGACCTTTAACAGCCCAGCCTGCGTGATATAGGGGAGAAGTGAGACAAGACACGGGGGATCGAAGTGGAAAGGGAAGAAAAGGGGACGGAGAATGAGTATGGGAAGGGAAACTTGGGGCTGGGCTGATCTTCTGCGGCTTGTACGGCACGTTGAGCTGCTCGGGCTGGTCTTCTGGGCTGCTCGGGAAGACCTTCGGCCTCCTTACCGGTTTCCTCATCTGGTTCCGACCCGCCTGGAAGGGAGAGAGGAGGGATGGAAGTTGGATTATGGAAGGGACAGGGAGCAGAGAGAGCCAAAGAGACGTGCAAGCTGGCGATACTTGGCAACGCGGAAACGGGAAACGGGAAGGAAACGGGAAGGAAACGGGAAACGGGAAGGAAACGGGAAGGAAACGGGAAACGGGAAGGAAACGGGAAGGAAACGGGAACCGAAAACGAGTATGAAACGGGAATTTAGGAGCCAAAGACTGGCCCAACCGGTATGCATATGACACGACAGTCGGCCTATACGCTCTTCGGAAGCATGTGGCATGGTAGGGGCACATGCGAGTTGGGCTACCCGCCTACCTGCCTACCAGCAGCCATGCACAGGTGAGAGAGCTGGCCTACAAGCACGCGCACACATGAGAGACAGCTTCCCTACCAGCTTCTCCCCAGCATCACCACAATCTGCGAGTCTGTGCCTTGCATCCACTGCCACCCCTACCTATGGTGCACACATGTGCTTGCCTACCAGCATGCTGATGAGAGCTTTCCTACCAACAAGCATGTCCACGCGAGAGTGGGTGGGGATGGTAAGGGAGACTGGTGTTTGACACCCTAAACGTCCGAGATCTGGGCGTGCAAGGGCTGCGTCACCGTGAAACGAACGGGCGCACGGGGGCCTGATGCGCTAAGATCCAGCGCAGATCCGCGTTACCGCACCGAACGCCTTCTGTTGCCGCGCAGATCGCCGCCCGTTGCCGACACTAATCCGGCCGTCCCCGCCCAGATCAGCGCGGCAGTTGCCGCCCGGATCGCCTCCCGGTATCGCCCAGAAAGCCGGCTTGTTCCGCCCAGATCCGCGCGGCCTATCGTTAGATCCCCCGTCCGTCTCTGTGCCGCACAGCAAGATCTGTGCTCAAATTCGCGTGAGGCAAGGTAGGCAATGGCAGGGAGCAGGGGACTCAAAGGTATGTTAATGTGTCAAGATCGGCAGGAGCAGACGAAACTGATTGCTGCCGCACGTCAGTATTTGGGATAGATTTGCACGTGGGGCTAGAAAATCGGGACATTGAGAGTGCTGTACAGAGACACGGAAATCTGCTGGAAACAGGAACTAACACTAGGCGGAATGCCTCACGGACTGATCATGGTGAATCATCGATGTAAGTGTGAGACGAACGGGAATAGGGAACACACGTGGGGAACATAAGTACCCAGGCGTAAAATCGTGTGTGCAGATTGCCCGTGCCGCTCGTTTCCGTACTTGCTACTTTCGACGAAAAGACTCAGGTTGCGCCCGCATTCGTCGCTTGGACACTTTGTTGGCGCTACACTACAGAGGTTACGGGATCACTGAGAAGCTCAAGAAAACAGAGAATACAATTCGAAAACGGAGAAAACTAGAGAGCTAGGCATGCAAATGAGAGGAACCATGGGAGAGGAAGAGAAGGTTGGAGAAGATGTGGCATTGCCACTCACCACACTTCTTGCCAACAGGTTGATGGCCAGAACAAGACAACAGTCAAGTTGTTTCCACATGAGCCAATGTTAGCATAGAATTCCACTTGGCAGCATTCCATTTATTGATGCCACCCATCCCCCCCACTAGACCTAGGGGTGCATGTTGTCATTGTTCTCTAGAGCTCCAAACCACTACTTTGCTATAGTATTGCTCCCCACCAACACACCAAGGACATCCAACAAAGGACAACAAGACCACCACAAATAACAAAATCAACACCTCATACAACAACAACACCACAACTAGACCTAGGGGTGCATGTTGTCATTGTTCTCTAGAGCTCCAAACCACAAATATGCTACAGTATTGCTCCCCACCAACACACCAAGGACATCCAACAAAGGACAACAAGACCACCACAAATAACAAAAACAACACCTCATACAACAACAACACCACAACTAGACCTAGGGGTGCATGTTGTCATTGTTCTCTAGAGCTCCAACCCACTACTTTGCTATAGTATTGCTCCCCACCAACACACCAAGGACATTCAACAAAGGACAACAAGACCACCACAAATAACAAAAACAACACCTCATACAACAACAACACCACAACTAGACCTAGGGGTGCATGTTGTCATTGTTCTCTAGAGCTCCAAACCACTACTTTGCTATAGTATTGCTCCCCACCAACACACCAAGGACATCCAACAAAGGACAACAAGACCACCACAAATAACAAAATCAACACCTCATACAACAACAACACCACAACTAGACCTAGGGGTGCATGTTGTCATTGTTCTCTAGAGCTCCAAACCACTACTATGCTACAGTATTGCTCCCCACCAACACACCAAGGACATCAACAAAGGACAACAAGACCACCACAAAGAACAAAAACATCACCTCATACAACAACAACACCACGATTAGACCTAGTGCTGCTTGTTGTCATTGTTATCTATAGCTCCAAACCACTACTCTGAAACAGTATTTCTCCCCTACCACACACCAAGGACATCCAACAAAGGACAACAAGACCACCACAAAGAAAAAAAAAAAACACCCCACACAACAACAAGACCACAACTAGACCTAGTGGTGCATGTTGTCATTGTTCTCTAGAGCTCCAAACCACTACTATGAAACAGTTTTGCTGGAGTCTAACACACCAAGGACCTCCAACAAAGGACAACCACACCATCACAAAGGACAACATCAACACCACATGGAACAACAACAAGAATGTATCGTCATTATTGTTGAATTCAAGGACCAAGAACAATATCCCCACACATTAAAATCTGATTGGTTAATGTTGTTATTGAATCCACTCTAAAAAAAATGCATGTGCTAAACAGGTTAGAATGTGGGACACTAACTATCTCTTCATGGTTACCATTGTAACTTTGCCTACCCTTGGTCGATAGCCTTGTTGTAATTTTTTGCAAAATGTGACACGTTGTATAACATAGTCTCACGGGCAGAAACTGAACCTGCTATAACATGTGTATGGGATCCATGCTTTAAAATACGTGTGTGACAATCACCGGGATGGCATTCGACAACACTTGTTCGCTCGCTGCCTGTCCTCGCACAGTTCCCTTTACAGCTTTGTTGTGGCCAACGACAAAGCCTCACACGTTGTCCGAATGACTCGATACGAGGATGGTAGCCTTGTAAGATCACGTGTAAGGGATCCATGCGCTCAAAGACGTGCGCGAGAATCACCGGGACGTCATTCCACAACACTCGTTGACTCGCTGCCTGTCAATGCACGGTTCTCTGTATTGCTTTGTTTTGCGCAGCGACGAGGCCTCTCACGGTGTCCGAATGACACGATACGTGGGTGGTAGCCTTGGCAGAGCATGTTTAAGGGATCCATGCTCTCAAATACGTGTGCGACAATCACGGGACGTCAAACAATAACACTCGAGCGTTCTCAGCAAGTATTTGCACGGTTCCCAGTGTAGCTTTGTTCTGCGCAGCAAGAAAGCCTCTCACGTTGTCTGAATGACACGATACGTGGATGGTAACCTCATTAGAGCGTGCTTAAGGGATCTATGCTCTCAAATACGTGTGCGCCAATCACCGGGACGGAAAACTCCCTCCAGTCGTGCGTTCCCAGCCTGTCCTTGCACGGTTCCCTGTATAGCTTTTTTCTGCACAGCGACGAAGCCTCTCACGTTGTCCGAATGACTCGATACGAGGATGATATCCTTGTTAGAGCACGTGTAATGGTTCCACGTGCTCAAATACGTGTGCGACAATCACCGGGACGTCATTCGACAACACTTGTTCGCTCGCTGCCTGTCCTTGCACGGTTCCCTTTATAGCTTTGTTGTGGCCAGCGACGAAGCCTCACACGTTGTCCGAATGACTCGATACGAGGATGGTAGCCTTGTAAGATCACGTGTAAGGGATCCATGCGCCCAAATACGTGCGCGAGAATCACCGGGACGCCATTCCACAACACTCGTTCGCTCCCTGCCTGTCAATGCATGGTTCCCTGTATAGCTTTGTTTTGCGCAGCGACGAAGCCTCTCACGTTGTCCCAATGACACGAAACGTGGATGGTAGCCTTGTAAGATCACGTGTAAGGGATCCATGCGCTCAAATACGTGCGCGAGAATCACCGGGACGGCATTCGACACCACTCGTGCGTTCCCAGCCTGTCCTTGCACAGTTCCCTGTATAGATTTGTTATGCGCAGCGACGAAGCCTCTCACGTTGTCAGAATGACTCGATACGAGGATGATATCCTTGTTAGAGCACGTGTAATGGATCCACGTGCTCAAATACATAGCGACAATCACCGGGACGTCATTCGACAACACTTGTTCGCTTGCTGCCTGTCCTTGCACAGTTCCCTGTGTAGCTTTGTTCTGGCCAGCGACGAAGCCTCACACGTTGTCCGAATGACTCGATACGAGGATGGTAGCCTTGTAAGATCACGTGTAAGGGATCCATGCGCTCAAAGACGTGCGCGAGAATCACCGGGACGTCATTCCACAACACTCGTTGATTCCCTGCCTGTCAATGCACGGTTCTCTGTATTGCTTTGTTTTGCGCAGCGACGAAGCCTCTCACGTTGTCCGAATGACACGATACGTGGGTGGTAGCCTTGACAGAGCATGTTTAAGGGATCCATGCTCTCAAATACGTGTGCGACAATCACGGGACGTCATTCAATAACACTCGAGCGTTCCAAGCAAGTATTTGCACGGTTCCCAGTGTAGCTTTGTTCTGCGCAGCAAGAAAGCCTCTCACGTTGTCTGAATGACACGATACGTGGATGGTAACCTTGTTAGAGCGTGTTTAAGGGATCTATGCTCTCAAATACGTGTGCGACAACCACCGGGACATCATTCGACAACTCTCGTGCGTTCCCAGTCTGTCCTTGGACGGTACCCTGTATAGCTTTGTTCTGCGCAGCGACGAATCCTCTCACAGGAGGGGATTTCGCAGGATGGTGTAGGGCTCTGTCAATGGCGCGCTGTCATTGTCCTGACGCACCATCGCTACCGTCTGTTACACCGAGGTTGTTAGAGGAGTAGACGTGGGTTTCACATGTGCGTACATTACAGCACTCCATAGCTGGTTGTCTTAGATTCATGTTTGCCCATCTCCCTAAACCATCTGATCAGCCAAATTCGCAATGCTGTCATCTGTCCGTAAGCTGTTGTACGAGGGAATTACCATCAAATCTGAGTATAAATGGTTTTATGGGCCTTGAAACTACAATGCTGGTCGCACAATAGGTAACCAAATTTCCACTTTAAGTGACCAACCTCATAATCCTATTGTTTGTGTTGATGCGTATGCGCATACCTTTACCTGAAATCGTGATGGAACTCGTACCCGTAACACCTATTTGATATGGTGTCAAGTGTTTTTAACTCTTAAAGAGCAGATTTTAACCACTGTTATGTTAAAACGAAATCTAGGCACCTTGCCTCAATCCGCGCGACACTCGTGTGTCTGGGGCTTGCAGGCCATCGAGTTCCTCCAACTCCCTCTGCTGGAAGAAACCCGACTCTTCCTGTGCTGACTAGGGTAGGTAATGAAACCCGCGACGCCTTGCCAGACACACGAGCCCATAGCGTTATCTGGGCGGGGGCGTGGGCTCCCCGCGCCAATGCCCCGCGATACCAGCGTCACCCAAGCATGCCCTGACCATACAGCGTCGCTCCCTCTTGCCCGTGGTAGCGACCGCCGTCGTCGTTCCCCCCAGCTACTGGTCGGCTGACTGAAAACCTGTCCACCTGGCACACGTCGTGACCCTCCCCTGCTACCGCGCCATTGTATCTGTCATGCTTGTTCGGTGGGGATGAACTTGCGACACGAGATACCGACCCGTTTCTGTAACTGGACTGCAAATCGACCCTGCGCTGCGCTTGTTTCTCGCCAATCAGAAGCAGGCTGGTGTAACAATTTCCCCGCTGGCGACATTATCTCGAGGGCTCTACAGGTACGAACCTGGACCATCGATTTTACCTCCGTTTCAACGAAAACCTCGTCGCATCTGCTGGTATCTCGCGCGGTCGCCGATTTACCCACGCACGTATCTCAAAACCTAGACACAACCATAGAGGGCCTGAGAGCTGAGATGACCCGTTTTCAAATTTCGAAATTCGAAGGTTAGCACGCAGCAGCACGAGCGGTTTGAGAACCGCAGAGAACCACTCGAGCTTATGAGCGGTGCGTCCGCGAACCTGGCGACGGATAGATACATTGCTGGTGATGGCTTGGCGACTATAAAAGACACGTTGAAACATACTGATAGTATGTTTCTTAACGTTTTAGATGTGGTGTTAGATCGACCATGGATACAGCCGAAGCGCGCCGGTTTAATAGACCTGGTAGAGGGACAAATAACCGGTACTCATCCGTGTTGGCCTCAGTTCGTGCTCTAGGAGAAGGGGACCGTGAAGAATCTGTGCAGGCAACGGCGGCGACAACAACCAGCAATGGTAAGCACTATCCAAGACGTTTCAGTTAGTACAAGTAAGCTGATTTCCGCGAGAGTTTGGTTTGTTGTACGTCAATAGCCTACGGTGCTGGATACTAAGCATGTGTGTTTTGATGATGTGCAGGCGAGAGAACCCTTCCACTCAACCAGCTGTCCATGGGAGGACTTCACAACCCGGCGAGTACAACTGGGACGCCTGGGGGCCGCCGGACGGGTCCTCGCCGCACGACGATTCGCAGAGGCTCGAATCAACAGCAGCTGCGGGCCAACTCTGCTCGCGCCACGCCAACATCTAGACAGCAGCAGCAGCAGCAGCGGAACTCTGCTCGCGTCACCCCAACCATTGGACAGCAGCAGCAGCAGCAGCAGCAGCAGCAGCAGCAGCTGCTGCGGAACTCTTCTCGTGCCACCCCAACCACCGGACAGCAGCAGCAGCTGCAGACCACCACTGGTCTGCCTACCTCACCGTATGGGCAGCAGGAGCAGCAGCAGCAGCAGCAGCGGAACTCTCCTCGTGCCACGCCAACCACTGGACTGCAGCTGCAGCAGCTGCCCAACTATTCTCGCGTCACCCCAACCATTGGACATCAGCAGCAGCAGTTGCAGACCACCACGGGTCTGCAAACCTCGACTAATGGACTGCAGGAGCAGCAGCAGCAGCCCGCCACGGATCTGCATGCCTCACCGTATGGGCAACAGCAGCAGCAGCAGCCCGCCACGGATCTGCATGCCTCACCGTATGGGCAGCAGCAGCAGCAGCAGCCCGCCACGGATCTGCGTGCCTCACCGTATGGGCAGCAGCAGCAGCAGCAGCCCGCCACGGATCTGCATGCCTCACCGTATGGGCAGCAGCAGCAGCAGCAGCCCGCCACGGATCTGCATGCCTCACCGTATGGGCAGCAGCAACAGCAGCAGCCCGCCACGGATCTGCATGCCTCACCGTATGGGCAGCAGCAGCAGCTGCCCGCGGATGTGCCATCTTCGCCGCATGTGCAGCAGCAGCAACAACAGCAGGCACTGATGCAACCCGAGGATCTGCATACCTCTTCTACTGGGCATGGGGATGACGGCGCCCCGACTGACTACATGCAGCCCCTAGACCCTGAAGCTTTTCCGGAGATGGAACCTCAGGTACCTGAGCCTGGTTACGAGGGGCTAGATGAGTATAGTGATGCCGATGAGGAAGCGGGACAAGGAGTGGACCTTATCTCCCGGGAAGAGTTCGATGCTGCTCAGGCTGAGGCACGTGAGCTGCGCCGCCGCCTTATGGAAGCTGAAAATGAGAACCGTCGCCTGTCGCACGGTGTTGCTAACCATACCAGCGAAGACGCTCCGGACGAAGCGAGCAACCCTGGCAACTCCTCAGGTGATGCTGATGCTCACGGTATGGGAGCGGCTGGTCCTGGTGCTGCAGCGGCTGGAAGTGGTGCTGCAGCGGCTGGAAGTGGTGCTGCAGCGGCTGGAAGTGGTGCTGCAGCGGCTGGTCCGAGCGCGCCTACTCCTAATGGCGTGGCAGGAAACACGCTACAGGCGTCGTTCCCGAGAACTCTACTCGTGGAACCGAATCGGGTGGCTATCGTAAATGCGGTCAGGACGGCCCACAGCCGGGGAACTATTTTGGACTTGCAGCAACTGTCGAGCATGCAGCGGACGTGGGCGCATCGGTACGCTGACGCGTTGGCCAGCATGCCAGATATCCACAATGGGTTCAAGGTAATGTCCCAACCATGTCCCACTCCCCACCCAGTGCATGACATCCTACTGCCATCGCGTTTGTATGGTCCTTGGCGCAGGCAACGGACCTCTAGTGCCGTTTTCACCCATTGGGACCCACCATTGACTCCATACCCATGTCAGACCGCCCATTTGCAGGTTATTACATGCGCCATTTCTGCTACCCTGCTGTGTATTTCACAGCAGGGGGCAGTGCGTTGTTATCCCCCAAGTAATCCCTCTAACCACCTATCACCACCCATGTTCCCGTGTCAGGGGGCCGCGACTCGAGCTGTGGAGATCCTTTACTTCGAAACTTCGGATGTGGACCTGGAGTATTGGACGCCGCGTGACACCAACATCACCGCCCTTTGCACGGCTCTAAACATCACAGATCCTGAGGGAGTGGCTAACCTGCGCCTGGTCATGGAGAACGAAACGGCTCGGCCTAGGCACCTTCGAAAGAAGCTTCAGGATGCGAGGAACAAGACCCTCACCACGGGCCGTGTCTTGTTGTACGAAAGATTCGACATTCGCATCAAACGTCCGGACCGCAACCGGGTCGAGACCGGAACGCTGTCGCCTGCGGCGTTCTGTGCCTCCTACCCTGCTAGTAAGATGATGGCTACACCATTCGCCAACAGACCGCTCAAACCCTGGCGAGCAGATGGCAGTTAGGCTGTCATTGCATCTCGGTTTTCCCGTCGACTCTTACCTTGCATCTTCCAATACCATTTTCCCCAGCCCACCATCCCCATGCAGGCAGCCCGGTGCACTGCTGTGGGCGTGGGATGCAAGGCGGCGTGCCTTTAGTTAAACTCCCCTCCAACCAATTGATCCCCACCCAATTCCCACTGCCTGTGCTCACCATCCCCATGCAGGCAGCCCGGTGCACTGCTGTGGGCGTGGGATGCTAGGTGGAGTAAACCCCCCTCCCACAACTGGATCCCACCCCTTTGTGCTCACTGCCTCTGCTCACCGTATGCTGCAGGCAGCTTGTTGCATTGTTGTGGGCGTGGGATGCAAGGCCACAATGATTCAAAAACTCCCCTCCCACCACTTGATTCCCCACCCACCGCCCACATGCCTGTGCTCACCATCCCCCCCGCAGGCAGCCAGCTGCACTGCTGTGGGCGTGGGATGCAATGAACATTCAATTGATTTCACAACTCTCTCCCATCCTGACCTCATCACCCACACCCGTCCAACCTTCCGCACCCAACAGGTGCTCTTTCGTGGGACTTGTTGACGTGGCATCATAATCGACTGGGGATGCCTTTCGCCTCTGACTTTTTCACCCTTGCGATTTTCCACTCGTTTGAGAGGCCGGGGCATGCCATCTTAGTCCTCCGTTTCAAGCAGATCGCCTTCTTCCTGCTAGGGGTATGTAAATTTTTGAAGCATGCATGAGAATGTTTGCCATTTTCTGTCGTTGCTCTAAGGATCCCCTTATTGGTGCTGCAGGTTGAGTACAAGCTCCTGAAGAACGAAGAGATGTCGCGCAGCTCAGTTGACAACAAGCGTGCTCTTGCGATCTACCATTCCAACGTGCACAACGCCGTTGCTTTTGCTGTTCAAAACCGGACTCCTGCGACGGGTCCTTGGTGGCAGCCTGAGTACAAAGCGTGGAAGTTTAACGAGGCAACGAAGAGGGTCTTCATCAGTTGCGAGGGGCTGCCGGGATTGCAGGGCCCCTAATGTTAAGACGGTTGCAGTGTATGAGTGCCTAACGCGTAGAGTGCAAGTGTGTGTGTCGGCCCAACTCTAGGTAGTTTGCTGTAGTTTGTGTGAGTGTGCTTTTGTGCATGTGTTTTTAGATTCTGCTAATTGATGTTTTTAGACCTAGTTTGTAATTTGATTTTAATAATATCTAACTACCAATAAAAATTATCATTAGTACATAATTCCTAATACCAATTCTAGTAATACAAAAAGATTATTTCATTTGTAGGTTATGATTTACATTTTGATATATGCCTATATGGAAGTGCACTAACTGTTAAATGTAACGCGCCAAGTAACAACGTAACTGTTACGAATTGTGGTAAGTTATTCACCACTACTTTCTTGCCAAAGTGGCGTTCGTCTGAACGTCCACGTGACCATGTACATTCCGAAATGTGTGGAGCAACCTCTCAATTTTCGGACACCTGTCGAATATAGGACGGCTGAGATAACGCGAGGGATTTGACATCATCTGACATGAGCTATTCTCTCCCAAACCCAACACCAATAACAAAACGCCAGAGCCGACTGACACTAATACGCGCGAAATGCTGTGATTAGGCGCGGCCATCAACCTACATTGATTTCGACCAATGAAAACGATCGCAATCACTGCTGATAGAAATCACGAACAAATGAAATACGACGAAGCCGTTCGCTCACGCTGAGTTACACCTTCTCGTGAGACTTCCCAACTGATCGGGCCGTTCGCCGATAACACATTCGTTCCAGCCTGCAAGTAACTTTCCAGAAGGTTTACGTTCGGGAGGCCCCAAGCCTCGCATCCCGTGATTCAGTATGTTCGCCAGTAACTACAGAGCTGATTTCTCAACACCAACCACAAAGTAACTACCAATTAGCTTCGAAGTAGGTTTAGCTTCCATGCATTTTTGGGATGTTGGAAGAGAGCATCGCCGTTCGGATTCGAAACGTGACAGTACCGAAGCTCGAGGTGCGTGAGGGAGGAGAAGCTGCGAATCGTGTCTAGGAGAACGGAGAAGTGGATCCTGGATTTGATTCGGAGGTGCGTGAGCGAGACGCGTGCTACGGCGTACCATTGCTTGGAGACAAGCGCGTGATGGAAGGAGTCGCGCGTTAGCGAGCGCAGCACGAGCGAGAGAAGATAATTATCGGATAGGACCTCCGCGATCGGTGAGGGAGGAGAGAAAGCAGTCCAGAAGGTGGGGAAGAGGGGAGACGGCACGGTACGATTCATAGTGTTAGAAGTGGTTCGCCGCTGCACCGACTTTACAGCATCAAAACGACAACAATAATATTATGGGAGATTAAGTGGGAATAGGCTATACTTTTTTTTTGGACTGTGTGGGCGGAGCTACTACGATGGTAAACGAGCTCTATCGGGAGATGGTAGAGGTGGACCTAAATCTCCATCTCCTCACCTTCTCCCAACCTGCGGGAAAAAAACGAGGGTGAAAGTTGAGGAGGAGGTTCAGCCCTGCAAGGAGGTATTCGGCGGAATTCAAGAAAAAGTCAGTCTCATCATCAGTTTCGGTGTGAATTTCATTGTCGGTGTCAGTTACGATATTCGGTTTCCTGACGAGGCGCGTTACGCGAGGCACACTTACAATCTGAACGTTCTTTACATGGCGTTTCAGCACTAACGATGTGTTATGCACCATACTTGGCATCCGTACTTGCAACTTCTGAACTGCTCTTCTAGGCCAAGTTATTATAACAAAACACTGTAGCTGAATAAAATATACCGTATGTATCTATGGGCCGGCAAAACCGTGGCCTCGCTGTCACTCGCAATCACATCCCATTGCAAGCAAGCAGGTACATGCCAGGTACACAGCCAGCAGCAGCAGCAGCAGCAGCAGCAGCAGCAGCAGCAGCAGCAGCAGCAGCAGCAGCAGCAGCAGCAGCAGCAGCAGCAGCAGCAGCAGCAGCAGCAGCAGCAGCAGCAGCAGCAGCAGCAGCAGTGTGTCAGCTTTCCCGTGTCACGTAATCAAGTGCTAGCTTGGCCCGACACTGCAGAGAGTATCAGACAGGAAGAAAAGCAAAGCAGAGCACAGGCATGTTTGTGCCACGACACACACACAGACCCACACTTGCTCACATGTACACGCGCACACACACGTGTATGCATGCATGAGGAATCACAGTGCGTTCCCCAAGTGCGCAAAAAAACTCAAAACGACCACACACAAAAGCCTATCCACAGCAACAGAAAAGCAGAGGGCGAGTGAGAACCTATCCGCAGCATGTCTTACAGCGATGTCAAAGCTCCCCTGTGCTGCGAGCCAGCCTCTCCAGCTGTGCCCCCACACCCTTTACCGGCCTCACGGCAGAGGGCGAGAGCAGCGAGACCTATTCACAGCAACACACGAGCAGAGAGCGATTGCATGTCTGCACGTGTGCACGTGTGCATGTGTGCGTGGCTTACAGCAATGTCGAAGCTCCCTTGCGCTGCCAGCATCTCCAACTGCACCACCAGGCCCTCTGCTGCCCTCACCGCAGCAGCTCGCCTGTCAGCCCCCGGGCAGGCAGGGCGGCAGAGGTTGGCGAGGCACCAGAGAGAGGCCAGGCGCAGGGATGTGCAGCCACGCAGGCGTAGCAGGTGCAGGATGAGAGGGGGAGGAGGGGGCGAGAGTCGTGCAGAGGGTAGGGAGGGGGTAGCGTTGGGCTGGGAAGGGCTGGATGGCGGGTGGTGGTGGAGGGAATGCAGCGGAAGTGTGGCTGCCAGCGCTTCTCCTTTTCCCTCTCGTCCGGCAGCAGCAGCACAAGCACTTGCACTTGAGCCTGCCGCACTGCATGCCACCGCCTTTGCTCCACCTGCTTCCCCATTCCCTGGGCCTGGTGTATCACACGTGGCTGCTTCACCCCCTCTGCCTGCCTGCCAGCACGCTTCAAGCTCCCTGACCTTGGCGGCGGGCAGCAGCAGCAGCGGCAGCACCGAGTCCTTGGCCTGTGCGCCCCCTGCTGCCACGTTGCTCAGAGCCAGCATGGCCTGCCGAGATACAGGTCAGCACAACACACAACAAGGGACCACGATTTGCAGACAGGAAGGGGAGTGAGCCAGAAAGAGATGAAGGTTTGGAAAAGTCTCATAAGGGAGCAGCAGTTTAGCAAGCGATGCAGGCGACGCACCTCCAATCGCACTGCATAGTGCGCTCGCCGCACTGCCGCCAACTCACACTCCGCATCCTCCACGCCCTCCTCCTCTGCATCCCCTCTCGCTGCTCCTCTCACTCCTATCACTGCTCCTCTCCCTGCTCCCCTCATAGCACCTCCCACTGTGGCTGGAGAGAGGGCCACAGGGCGGGCGGGCAGCAGTTTGGCGGCGAGGAGGCGCAGGAGAGCGCCGTGGAGGGCAGCGGGGGCCAGCAGCAGGTGGGCGTGCTCCTCTGCTCCGTGCGCCACGTTGCGCAGCAGCGCTGCCGCCTGCACCTGCACACCCGGCCAGGGAGCTGGAGGTGGGAAGGGGTGCAGAGCGGTGAAGATGTGGCGCGATGGAGAGACGACAAGGTGGCAGAGAGGTTAGCACTGGCAACAACAATGGCAATTGGTGGAGAAACGGTTGGAGAGAATGGGACGCGAGTGGGACACCCACCTTGCAGCAGGGCGGGCAGGGTAGCGGGCAGCAGGAGGGCGATCAGTTGTTGCTTGACGGGTGTGGTGGCGGAGTGAGCCACGTTGCGCAGCACCATCACACTGCGCTCCACCACCTGCCCTGCTACCCCCACTCTCTCCCCCACACTCCCCTCCATACTTCCTTTCACACTCCCCTTCACACCCTCGTCCACAATCCCCTCCACTCTTCCCTTAACACCCCCGTCCGCTCTCTCCCCCACTCTCCCCTCCACAACCTCCTCTCGCACCCACCCCTCACGCTTCCCAACAACCCCAGCTGTCAGCTCAGCCATGCGGGAGAGCAGCCCTGCATCCACGAGAGCACCCGTGTCGCCTCGGAAGTCCAGCAGCAGATTGGCCAGCGCTGACACCGCTGGTAGCTGCAGGGAGGCGAGGTCAATGACGAGAGAGAGGAACATAAGAGTTGCTCAAAGTGCAGAGTAATGAAGGATTCAAAACGCAGCAAGCCGTGTGGTCACCGTTGAAACTTTCAGCCAAGTATGGGTGGGTTGCTTCGTTAGGACTAGGAAAAAAGGTATGAATGAGGACTGTGAGGCCTTCATCACAGGCCGAAACGCGTACGCCTACTTTGTACTTTTACTTTGAGACTTATCAAGTCCTCATTCATACCTTTTTTCCTAGTCCTAACGAAGCAACCCACCCATACTTAGCTGAAAGTTTCAACGGTGACCACACGACTTGCTGCGTTTCGAATCATTCATTACTCCGCAAGAGGCTACCGTTGCTCAATGTGCGGTGTTGGTTGGCCAAAGCTGCCAGTGCTGATGGCTGGGGAGGAGGTGAGGTTGAGAGAGGCTTGGGGGAAACAAAATGTGCAAAAGTGGTGGGGATGGGAGGGGACGGGGAAGCGACGGGGGTGGACGCAGGGCAGAGGCACTGGGGGAGGGCGCACCTGGGCAGAGGCATCGGGGGAGGGCGCACCTGGGCAGAGGGGTCGGGGGAGGGCGCACCTGGGCAGAGGGGTCGGGGGAGGGCGCACCTGGGCAGAGGGGTCGGGGGAGGCGGCGAGGTTGAGCACGGCGAGGATGATGGGCGCCGTGGACAGGCCCGTGCGGAGATTCTGAACAGTCTCAGGCCCGCATGTGGGGGGAGGGGGAGGGGGTTGGTGGGAGAAGGGCAGGCAGTTGAGACAAATGTGGAGGGATGAGCCGGGGATGGAATCCTACAATCGACTGCCTTCTGGATACTTAATAGTGGTCAACGTTGAATAGACTGCCTGCACTGCAAAATACTCATCAACTCTACTCGTACTTGAATATCACTGGAGACTTTGATTAGTAACCTGAGGTGAGACAGAGCAAGGGGACTGGCACCTTGATGGAGCGCGCGAGTGAGTGCAGGCAAGAGCACGCAGCAGCGCGCAGGGGCATGGGTTGGGAGGCATCGAGGCAGCGCAGCAGAGGCTGTAGCACCTGTGGGAGGGGGTTGGTGGGAAAGAGAGGAAGGGGAGGGGAGCGGTGAGAGAGAGAGAGGGCGGGAAGACACAATGTGTGGGACAATACGCATCGTGGGTGCAGAGAGGGGGGTGTACGTGCAGTGCTTGTTCTCTCACCTGCCCCTGGCATCACCTGCACCAGGCATTCCCTTGAGGTCTAAGTGCGTCTATAAACACTGGTTAGCCGTACTTAGTGCAACACATCACCTTGAGGTCGAGAGCCTGGCGGCGGATGGGCTCCCACGAGGAGCACAGCACCGCTAGCGCCGCCAATGCACTTTCCCTCTGAACCGCACTGCGTTCCACCAGCACCGCACTGCCCTCCCCCTCACTCCTCCCCTTCTCCCCTCCCCGCACACTCCCTCCTCCGCCCTCACTCCTCCAGCCCAACCCCTCCCCACTCCCCCTTCGCGTCTCTCTCCCCTCTCTCCCCTCGCGCCCCCCTCGCACTCTCGCCCCGTCGTCCCATGCCCGAGTGTTCTCGCCCCGCTCACCCCATGCCATCCATCTACGCGATGGGAACTCCGCACTCTCCCTGCGCCCCACTCCGCTCAGCCATCCCCGGGAGGCCCTAGGCTCTGTAAATACCAAGCCGTTGGAGGTAGGCTCGGCCAAGCCTACGGAGCCAAAAGTTACCACGGGTGGAGAGCGGGAGAAGAGTGGCCTGGTAGCAGTGGCAGTGGGAGGCGAGGAGGAGGAGGGGATGAGCGGCGACGGGAAGGATGGAAATGGGGGGATGGGAGGAGGGGAAGAGGAGGAGGGGATGGGAAAAGCGGAGGAGGAGGGGATGGGAAGCGAGGAAGGGGAGGTAATGGGGGAAGGAGAAGAGGCAGCGGTGGGGGCGGGGCGGAGCAGAGCGACGAGCTCGGAGGCCGCGTGGGCGTTGAAGGCCGCCCACTGCACGTCCTCCCTGCCGCCCAGCAGCTGCTGCAGTAGCCTCGGCGCCTGCTCGCCCACCTGGTGAAGAGGAGGGAGGGGGAGCAGGGAGACATGGAAAGGGCTTGCAGGAGAAGGTTGCAAACACCAGACGAGACCAATGGGCTGATGAACAACAGCTAGAGAGCACTAGTGTGTCCACCTGCACATGCCTTCCACATGGCAAATGCTTTCCAAAATGGTCAGCGCATGAGGGGGAGCGGCAGGTGCTTGGACTTGCAACGACAAGAAAAGGAGGGGAAGGAGGCCATGTGCAGAGCAAAAAGCGGGTGAACTGGTCGGAGAGAGGCAGCAGGTTGAGGAACGGAGGCGGTGTGAGCATAGTGCGGAGGTGCAGAGAAGAGAGGGGCTGACCTGGTCGGGGAGTGGCAGCAGGTTGATGAGCGCCACCAGCACCACCGCCGCCACGTTCACATCCACCGCCGCTGCCGCCCCCACGCCCACTCCCATGCCCACACCCACCCCCACGCGCATCGGCCTCTCGCCACTGGCAGCAGTAGCAGGTGTGGGCGCGGTGGCAGGCGTGTGGGCCCCTGTGCGAGGGGACAAAAGCGCCCCGCACACCACGTGCTGCGCCCGCCCCTCCTCACCCTCCCGCCCACACGCCGCCTGCTCGTGCCCTTGCTGCCGCGGCCACATGCCCCGATCGCCCTTGGTCATCCCGCCTGCCTTCAACCCGCCCCATGCATCCCGTTTCACTCCACCGCCCCGCCCACCCGCCCGTCCACCCCCATCCCCCGCAATGCTGCCGCCGCCGCCGCTGCTGCTGCGTGCAACCCGCTCAACCCTCACGCTCGCAGCCGCCGCTGCAGCTGCTGTGGCAGGGGGCAAAGCCGCCGCTGCAGTAGCACAGGCAGGGGCAGCAGCGGTGGTGGCAGGTGGAACCGCGGAGGAGACAGGAGGAGCGGGCAGGGCAGCGAGGGCGGGAGCGGGGTGTTGGAGAAAGGAGCGGGGCACGGCAGTGATGGCACCGCCGTGCGGCCAGAGAGCTGCCTCGACGTGCAGCAGGCAGCGGCAGGCATTGAGGCGCGTGGTGGGGGATGGGTGGCGCGTCAGACTCACCACCGCCGCCAGCGCTGCTCCCCCGCCCATATCTGCAGCACGTGCGGGGAGGAGGGTGGGTATCTGTTGGTGTTAGGCCCCAATCTCACATTTTGTACTTGTACTTTTATATCCTAGTTTAGTGTAGTTTGCACTTTGTGTTTGGTTGGGTGTACACCCACATCCCAACCAAACCCAAATGTAATCTCCAAGCAATCTCCAACCCACCAATTGGAGATTGCCTTGGGATTACCCTTGATTCCCTAGGATTGCCTCCTGATTCCCTCCTCATCCCTACCTTGCTCATTCCGGATGTACTTAAAGAGCTTTGAGCTCACTACTATAGTATCCATTCTAAGCTCAAGTCCTAACATGGTATCAGAGCAGCTCAACCGCATACGCGGATCGTGATCCTCTCATCTCTGCGGATACTTGTCCCGCAAACCTCGGGGAAGCCATCGCCAATCTCGTCGCCGTTGATTCGCGACATTCATCAGCGGAATTTCTCCCGCCACATCTTCCCGTCACCATCGACGGAAACTTCTCTGGTAAGCGCATCGTCGGCGCTCTAACCTAACACTCGTTTTCATCAATTCGTCACTCTCGTCACTTCTTCTCCTCGTCGGGCCGCCGCCCGTCGCCCTGCAGCTTCTCTTCGGGCTACCGCCCGTCGCCCTGCAGCTTCTCGTCGGGCCGCCGCCCGTCGCCCCGCAGCGTCATCTTCGGGCTGCCGCCCGTCGCCCCGCATCTGCACTCCTACCCCCATCCCCCCTCTTTCCCGCAGCTGACCAAGTGCAGCAACGCAGCCGAGCAGCAGTGTAGCCGCGAAGCCGAGCAGCAGCGTAGCCGCGAAGCTGAGGGTGGTGTGTGGGGGGGTGTGTGGGAATAGGATTAGTAGGTAGTTGACACTAAATTGGCAGCTCAGTCAAATTCTCCTTCAGAAACCCTAAACCTCGATATTCTCTTTCGTAAACCCTAAACCTCCGGTTCTTCAAAATCTCCTTTGGAAACCCCAAACCTCAAGTTCCTATCGGTGACTTAAGAGCGGCGCTCCGCGCGAGAAGTTAAGGGGTCTCCACCATGGCTTTCTCGTCTTCCACCATGGCGAACCCCATCACCCCGCTCCGCCTTGAAGCCGATGGCTCTAGCTCCAACTTCAAGGCGTGGAGCTACGGAGTTGACAAGCACCTCCTGAGCCGTGACGTGCAGGGCCTTGACCTCAAGGACGTCCTCCTCAACCGTGGCAAGGGGAAACAGCCCACTCTTCCCCGTGAACCGACTGAATCTTCAAGTGATGCTGACGTGATGGCGTACGAAGAAGCTGTTGAGAAGTACCGGAAGTGGGAGAAGGCCGATGCTGCCATCATCAGCGTCTTCATTGCCTCCACCCCTCCCGAACTTGTCAACACGTTCCACAACTACCCTACCTCCAACGCCATCTGGAAGTATCTCCAGGATCGGTTCATGAACAAGACGGCGGTCGGAGTGGCGATTCTCATCCCCAGCATGTTTCAAGTCCGTCTTGAGGACTGCTCAGGAATGGCTGACTACATCGCCAAGGTGCAGACCATTCATGGTGAACTCAAGGAGCTGGGTATAGTCTTCCCCGAACAAGCCCCTGCAGCCGCCCTTCTTGTTGGTCTCTCCTCGGCATATGAAGTCACGAGGAAGATGCTCCTCACGCTCTCATCGGAAGACCTCACCTTTGCTAAGGTCTCCACCGCACTCCTCTCTGCCGAGAAAGACTCCACGGCTCAGGCCAAGGCATACGCCATCCGTGCTCCCATGCCCCCAGCAAGTGTTGCAGCGGCCCTTGCCTCGGCGCCTTTCCAGCGCAACCGCTTTCCTCCGTGCACCTACGTCGTCAAGTATGGCAACCGCAAGGGACAAGTGTGTGGTGGCACTAACCACTCCCTTGCCACGTGCTTCAAGAAGAAAGACGACGAGTGGTATGCCATCCACGGGGTTGACAAGAAGCCGCCAAACTGGATGCGCGCTCGTAAGGCCAATCTCGTTGAGGTCCAGGACCCCTCTTCGGCTAGTGCTAGTGATAGTGCTCCTGTTGATGTGCGTATCAACCTGTTGTTTCCTGGCACTGCCATGATTAATGAAGCCACTTCCCAGTACATCGACTCATCACAGGCACCACAGTACATAGAGTTCACACTCGACAGCGGGGCCACTCACACTGTGCTCAAGGAGACACTCTCCTTCAAACCCTATCCAGCACCTATCCCTCTCTTGGGAGCTGACTCCAGCTTCACCACCCTAGCCAAGGGCACCTCCACAGTCCCATGCCCAGCCTTCCCTTCCGGCACCGTCACTGGCATGTGCGTGCCTTCACTACGCCACAATCTAGTGGCTCAAACAGAAATTCAGAAAGCAGGGCTACGCACCATCTTCTCGGAGAATGAGGACCACTGCGACATCATTGACCCACTCACCAACAAGGTCTTGGCCCGCTTCACCCTCAATAGCAGCGGCCTCTACACGCTACGCGTTCCTCTCCCACAGGTTTCAACCACCCAAGCACAGACTCCCATCACACCATGCACATGTCGCAGCCTCTCCAACCCGACCATCCTCTATCATCATCGGTTAGGGCACCCAAACTTCCGCACGCTTGCGGACATGGCCTCCAAGAAACTTCTTCTCGGCCTGCCAGCCACACTTCCTCCACCACCTGACTCACCCGCTCCCACGTGCCTTGATTGCACCAAGAGCAAACTGCGCCAACAGCCCCACACTGCCTCACCCACAATCGCAGCGGCACCACTGGACCTAGTGCACATGGACGTCTGGGGCCCTGCCCCTGTTCTTGCACGAGGCGGATATCGCTACTTCCTAGTTATCGTGGATGACCACTCACGATACGTCTCTGTTCACCTCCTCCACACTAAGGCTGAGGCTCCAGAGGTCATCATGGCGTGGGTCAAGCAGGCACATACCACCTTTGACCGCAAGGTCAAGCGCCTTCACTCGGATGGGGGGGGTGAATTTTGCAACGACAAGCTCAAAGCCTTCTGCTCCTCCGAAGGCATCCAGCAAAACTTCACCCTCCCTGACAGCCCTCAACAGAACGGCATAGCTGAGAGCCGCAACCACACCCTAGTGCAGATCACTCGGTGCCTCCTCAGCCACTCCAACGCTCCACACTCTCTCTGGGGATACGCTCTCTACCACGCCGCCCTCCTCTACAACCTTTACCCCCATCCGCACCTTCCCGACACCACTCCAACCACACTCTGGCTCGGGAAAACGCCCACTGCTCGCTCTCTTCGCGTTTGGGGATGCACCGCCTATGTCCTCCTCAACCCTCAGGCTCGACGCCAGAACGGTGGCAAGCTCGGTCCCAAGACTCAAACGTGCATCTACCTTGGGCACAACGCCGACTCACCTGACTACCTCTTCCTCAATCCCTCCACTCAACAGTTGGTCAGGAGCCGCGACGTTGTCTTTGATGAGACCCGCCCATTCCACTCCCCTTCAGGACGGGACCCTCTCCCTGATCCACCCTCCCTCGTGTGGGCAGACTTTGACGCGCCTCCCGACCTCCCGCCTGCTCCTGCCCCCTCACCTCCTCCCTCTCCTGCCATCCCACCATCTCCCTCTGAGGTATCTGACCCGGCCTCACCGGTGTCTTCGGCAGCTGCTCCGCCCCCCCCCTCACCTTCCTCACTTCCCGCTGCACCGCCCCCTCCGAGCGCACCTATCACCTACCATCGGCGGTCCCTCCCTCCGGCCCCACCTCCTCCCCCAGTTCCCACCACCACAGAGGAACCCGCTCTCCCACAGTCGCCCGAGCTGATCACGTACCGCCGGCGGCCCATTCCCCCACCCAAGCCTCCTAAGTCACCCTCTCCGACACCGCCTGCCCCACCCTCCTCACCGGTGGCTCATGGCACCCGCTCCCATCGCGCTGCTCTTCCACTCGCAATGGTTCTTCGATACACAACGATCACACCGCCTCCTCCTGCTAGGGGGGATGTGCCCTCTACCCTTCTAGAAGACAGGCATGAGGAGCTGTGTGATCTCCATGCAGTCACTCCTCAGCTCTCACACATCTTCCCCGATATCACTGGCTCACCCTCCCTCAACCTCGCAGAGAACCCGACCATCCCTATCCCTCTCACCGTCCAAGAGGCTCTCTCAGGCCCTCATGCTGCCGAATGGCGTGCTGCCATGGACGCGGAGATTGCAGCATTCACTCGCAACCACTCATTCGACGACGAGACTCCAACTCCAGGAGTCAACATCGTCGGGGGCAAGTGGTTGTTCCGTGTAAAACAGCTCCCAGACGAGGCACCGGTGTTCAAAGCGCGTTACGTAGCCAAGGGCTTCACCCAGCAGCGGTACCGCGACTTCAACCTAATCTTCTCCCCCACATCCAAACCTCCCACCATTCGAACGCTCATGGATGTTGCAGCTCGTGAAGACTTTGAGATCAAATCCATGGATGCCTCCTCCGCCTTCCTACAAGGACGTCTCAAGGAGACAGTGTTCATGGACAGACCAGAAGGCTTCCCAGGAGAATTCCCTCCCAACACTGTCTGGAAGCTGAATCGCCCCGTCTACGGCCTTAAACAAGCCCCTCGCGAATGGCACAACAAGGTGAAAGAAGTCCTCCTCTCCCTGGACTTCCACCCCTCAACTGCTGACCCGACTCTCTTCATCCGTCGTCATTCTGAGCCATTCTACATCTTAGTCTACGTGGATGATTTTATCCTCGTTGCCAAGGACTCGGCCCAAATGACCTCAGTCCAGGCAGCCTTGAGCAAGGCCCTCCAGATGAAAGACCTCGGTGACCTCAAGCACTACCTGGGAATGGAGATCACTCGTGATCGCAAGGCTCGCACCATCTCACTCTCCCAGGAGTTCTACATCGACAATGTGCTCAAGCGGTTTGAGATGGAGCTGTGCACACCTGTTGCCACCCCGCTGCCGCTGCAACACCTCCTTACAGCTCCTGCTGTACCCACACCAGAGGCCTGCTCTGAGCCATACCCGGAACTTGTTGGGTCCCTCATGTACGCCATGATGTGCACCCGACCGGACTTGGCCTACCCAGTCAGTGTTCTCTCTCGTTACGTGGCCCCGGGTCGCTTCACTAATCTTCATTGGAAGGCAGCAAAGCGGGTGCTGCGCTATCTTAAGGGCACAAAGTCCCACGTTCTCACACTCGGTGGGCTCTCCCCTCCTCGCCTGGAAGGTTACACAGACTCCTCCTGGGCTGATGACCAGACCGACCGACGCTCCTCTCAGGGGTACTGCTTCACCCTCGGGAGCGAAACTGTCAGTTGGCGCTCCACCAGGTCGTCTGCAGTCTCCCTCTCCTCCTGTGAGGCGGAGCTCTACGCAGGCACCATGGCTGCTCAGGAGGCCCGTTGGCTCACCTTCCTACTCCAGGAGCTTGGCTTCCCTCAGTCAGCCCCCACCCTCTGGTGTGACAACCAGAGTACCATCCACATCTCTCAAGACCCTGTGTATCACACCCGCACCAAGCATATTGAACTTCGGCACTTCTTCATTCGTCACCTTGTGCAACAAGAGCAGCTGAAGGTGGACTACGTGGCATCTGACTGCAACCTGGCTGACCTGTTCACCAAGCCCCTTGGGAAGGTTCCCCACCATCGTCTCCTTGGCGCCATGGGGCTCTGCGCTCCTCCTTCTCCGCCATGAGTTCGATTGACGCCTCAGGGGGGGTGTTGGTGTTAGGCCCCAATCTCACATTTTGTACTTGTACTTTTATATCCTAGTTTAGTGTAGTTTGCACTTTGTGTTTGGTTGGGTGTACACCCACATCCCAACCAAACCCAAATGTAATCTCCAAGCAATCTCCAACCCACCAATTGGAGATTGCCTTGGGATTACCCTTGATTCCCTAGGATTGCCTCCTGATTCCCTCCTCATCCCTACCTTGCTCATTCCGGATGTACTTAAAGAGCTTTGAGCTCACTACTATAGTATCCATTCTAAGCTCAAGTCCTAACAGTATCGGCAAGTTGCGGAAGGTAGGGTGTTGAAGGGGGAAAAGGGGCGGGGGGGACGGGAGTCGAGGAAGAAGTGGTGATTGTGAACGGTGTGTGTGTGTGCGAGTGAGCCATCTGCGCATTGAGTGAGTGAGTGAGGGAGGGAGGGAGTGAGAAGATGGTGATTTTAACCGACGGGGAACACAGGCATGCAGCGGCAAGCAGGGCAGTGGAGCCATGCCCACACGCAGCAAGCAGCAGCACAGCGAATTGAATACACACTTGCACAGCACACGCACCTACGAGAGCAGCGGCCTGCTGCCGGTTGCCCTTGACAGCCGCCGCCAGGGCGAGCAGAGCGGCATCGGTGCAGCGCGGTGACGACGCGAGCAGGCGCGAGAGCGACAGCAGCCCGCCTGCTGCTGCCAGCGCTGCCTGCTGCTGGTGCGAGTGCACGCAGTGCGCTGCCACACTCGCTGCCACCTAGTGGGGACGGTGAGGGGAGGGGTGGGGGGTTGGGGTTGGGGGGATGGGGACAGGGGGAAGGGGGTGGGTACAGGCGGGAGTGGGGTGCTTTTGAGGCACCCCAAAAGCTGCCTGCTGCTGGTGCGAGTGCACACAGTGCGCTGCCACACTGGCTGCAACCTGGTTGATAGGCAGAGGAAGGGTGGGGGGTTAAGGGGTGCTTTGGTTTGAAGCGCCTCAAACGATGCCTTCTGCTGGTGCGAGTGCACACAGTGCGCTGCAACACGGGCTGCCACCTGGAAGGGGTGCTTTGAATTGAAGAGCCCAAAAGCTTCTTGTTGCTGGTGCGAGTGCACACTGTGCACTGCCACACTGGATGCCACCTGGTGTGGAAGGGAAAGGAGGGGTGCGGGGGGAGGGGGTGGGAGGGGGAGCAAGCACGACTAGAGTGCAGTGGAAACCTAGGCTTGAGAGGATGCATGGTGGTGCGCGAGGGTGGCAACACGCAGTGTGGTTACCAAGGTAACGACATGCACACTCACCTCTGACACTGTCTCGTTGGGGGAGGCGAGCAGGGACGGCAGCAGGGTGAGGGCGGGCGAGAGCCAATCCCCTGCAGCAGTGCTGCCACGTGGCAGAGCAGGAGTGGACTGGAAGATCAGACGCAGTGACCTTGCAGCTGCCTCCACCACCTGTGTGTTGCAGATAAGTGCAGGGGGGGCAGAGTGGTGCAGAGAGGTGCAGAGAGGTTCAGAGAGGTGCAAAGTGGGGCAGACAGGGGCGTGCATGTAGTGCGGTGCCCATGGCACCGTGGCATGTCACGTCCATCCGTGGCATGTGGACATCGCATGCTATGGCAGCAAGCAGGCATCACCTTGGCATGGGGGTGCAGCAGGCAGCGCAGCAGTGGCAGCACGGCCCCCACTGCCAGCCAGACAGCCAGCGGGAGCACGCCCTCCGCCAGCTGTCACCTTGGTGTGCAGGTGCAGCAGGCAGCGCAGCAGAGGCAGCACAGCTCCTGCTCCCAGCACAGCATGCACACCCTCCAGCAGCCCACATGCCAAACCGCATTTGAGAATTCTAAAAAAAAACTCCAGCATGGGGCGTCACCTTGGTGTGAGGGTGAAGCAGGCAGCGCAGCAGCGGCAGCACGGCCCCAGCAGCCAGCACGGAAAGCACGCCCTCCGGCAGCATGTGGGTGTCACCATACCTTGGCATGGGGGAGTCACCATACCTTGGCATGGGGGTGTCACCATACCTTGGCATGGGGGAGTCACCATACCTTGGCATGGGGGTGTCACCATACCTTGGCATGGGGGTGTCACCATACCTTGGCATGGGGGTGTCACCATACCTTGGCATGGGGGTGTCACCATACCTTGGCATGGGGGTGTCACCATACCTTGGCATGGGGGTGTCACCATACCTTGGCATGGGGGTGTCACCATACCTTGGTGTGCGGGTGCAGCAAGCAGCGCAGCAGCGGCAGCACGGCCCCAGCAGCCAGCACGGCATGCACGCCCTCCGGCAGCCCGCATGCCAAACTGCCCACCGCTGCCGCCGCCTGCTGCACCTCCTCCGCTCCCCACGCCCCCTCCGCACCCTGTTCGCCCTCCGCCCCCTCCGTTCCCTCCGCCCCTTCCATTCCGTCCGCTCCCTCTAGCATGGCCACCAGCCTGATGGGCACACGCACGGCACGGCACACACGGGCATGGCAGGTCAACAGACACGCAGGCAGGTTCGAGGGCAGGCAGGCAGGTAGGAAGGTAGGCAGGAAGGAACGAGGGCAGGCGAACAAGCAGGCAAGCATTCAGTCAGGAAGGGCAAGGCCAGCATAGCAATGGGGGTCAAGGAGAAACGGACAGAAGGCATGGTGGACCCGCAAGGAAGGGACCCACTTCTCAGAGACCGGCACCACTGCCAAGACACCCAAACCACTCCCCACCACACTGACTCGAACCACTCCCCAAACCACTCCCCAAACCTCTCTCCCCCATCCAGTGCCCCCTCAGAGAATCGGATGGAGAGGGAACGGAGATGCGGGAAGCAGCAGGGCGCGGAAACAGAAGGGCGCGGAAACAGTAAGGCGCGCGGTGGGGCGGTGGTACGGAAAAAGGCCGCGTGGAGAGCGCAGCCGTGGTTTCAGGGGAGAGAGGAGCAGGGAAGGAGGCGCGGGAAAGAGCGCGGCGCGGCGCGCGTAGGAGTGAGGTTCGCGGAGGAGGGAGGCGCGCGGAGGAGGGACGCGCGCGGGGAAGAGAGGCGCACCTGGGCACGGCTCGCAGGCGGATGAAAGCGAGCTTGCGCGTGCGGCTGCCGATGGCGGCGTTCTTCACGTCGCGCACGGCGCGCAGCCGCACCTTCGCGTCGCCCGCCGCCAGCCCCGCCACCAGCTCCTCCGCCCGCCCCGCCCGCCGCCACGCCTCGCCAGGACGGCTCGCTGCTGCCGCTGGCATGTCGGCGCGACCCGGAATGATGAGTTTCGAGAGCTGCTGTACGTGGTGCAGCTGAAATTACGCCACACTCGTTTCGTCTGCCGCTGTACTTGCGTGCATATGCTTCGCTGTTAGTCGCGATTGGGCAGAGTCGCTTCAGTCCAATATCCAACACAGCAAGTGAATTTTTCATATCGGGGAGGAGGTGACAAGGAGCAAGATCCGAGGTGCTATACAAGATGACTTGTTAATAGAGATGAACATGGGCGGAATGTACATACATACACATACAGGTATATTTATCATATATATAAATACACACATATATGTACTAGCATATGTTTAGGGCTCAGGCATAAGAAATCGACAACACTGGTAAAGAATGTCATTTCAGAATGATATGCCATGAATATGCAGATTTTTTCTCGTATTCAGGGTTCATTAATTCATAATTGCCTCTCTTTTAGGTTTATTGCTTTTGATCCTCCTAACCTAAAATGGAGGGATGTGAGGGGAGGTGGAGTTGTGGGAGTGCTTATCCAAGGAGGCGTTGCAGTAAGGGCGTTGTCAAATCAGCTCTACTTGGGGTGATATGGGAGGGGAAGGGAGGGACGTGCAATGTGAAGCAGAAAGGGGGGGGAAGGGACCTGAAGTGGCTCTCAAGCACCTCTGATTATCAGAATCATAAAAATAGCGTGTGGGCCCCAATCCACATGCGCAATACACTGATTGCTAGTTAAGTTGGTTTAAATTATTCAGGATACTATATGAGGGTTTGCGGTACAAAGCATTTCGAATCAAGGAAAAGAAGCAAACACAGGATTTACAAAACACCTGAACTCCCCACTTGTAGTTGGCGTGCCATTATGGCTGCGTGTTTATTTGCTAGGCTATCTGGTATATCTGACCAATGTAAAAGGTGATCATGATCCCCAAACCACCTCAGAAAACGATTCTGCAGCACTGCGTCATAATCCCTTGTCACATGAAATCGCTTCCGCCGCTGCTCTCGTGTTCCCCCTTGCGCCACGCAGCAGCATACATGCAATCCGCGGAGTGAATATCCGAGGTGGTATAGTCCTTCGTGCGCCCATCCAGGAATCCCCTGCCACTCTCACTCTCCACCTCTACCGGCTCGCGCAGCAGGCGGGTCAGCAGGCGGTACCGCAGCGAGCGCACCTTGCGGGATTCCTCGGCTCGGAAGGTCTGACCCAGCACACCGTGAATGCCACTCGTGTGCTGCACAAGGGAGGGAAAGAGGGAACGACAGGAAGGGGGAGATGGGGAGATGGGTGAAGGGAAGACGTTGCATGGGACAAAATGACAAAATGGGTACCATACCAGGACGGTTATAATGGCAGAACCGGCCAGGCACAGCACAACCACCGGAGAGCGAGAACAATCAGAAGGTCTCACATTGAGCCGGGCGATATGCACGTTGAAATGTGCCTGGGCCTCCGTAGCCGTCTGCATGAGCGGATGCGCCAAACGCGCTGAGATGCCCATGTCCACCAGGCCGTCGATTGTGAGATGAAACTCGTCCTCGTTCTTCCCCTTGCAGCTCCGTGTCTCCGCCAGCAGCAGATTGATCCCGCCGCTGCCAACGATGAAAGAGCCTTCGGACAGAGGCGGGGCCACCGGCGAGCCGTCGAGCTCCAGTCGGTCGATGAACCCGCTGCTGCCCCTCCCTTGCTCCTTGCCGTCGCGCGCCTTAAAGAATGCCGAGTGTTGTCTGCCAGTCGAATCACGCCACATCACTTGAAGCTCCCTGGAAGGCAGAAAGCATGAAGGTAGTGCAGCAAAGAAGAAAGAGTCTTATGACGACTCTTGCAGTCTACAAGCACGGCGCATGCTATGGCTACGAGTACATGGCGCATGTGCATCATGTAAAAGCACAGTGTTGCATACCTGATCCAGCTACGAATCGGCTTTTGTTTCAGAAGCCTCGCCTTCAGCTCATGCTTCGCATACTGAATCGAATGCTGCTCCTTCTCTTCCCCTTCTCCCCCGGCGCCTTCTTCGCCACTGCGACGACCCGTCTCCCTGTCAAGCGCCGCCACCACCTCATCGGTCAACGGCAGGCTCCCGTTGGCCCGCATCCTCTCCATCTCGCTCAGTTCCTCCACGCTCAGCCGCTCTTGTTCCAGCTGCCTGATATGACGTGGCTTCTTCTCATTGGCCGCCGCTTCCACCGCTGCAGCGAGCGACTCTTCGTCCAACGATGTCGCCGTGCCGGGGAGATTCGCGATGGGCTGATAACCCTTGATTCCCATGTTGATGTGGATCCGACGGTCGGAAACCAAGCAAAAGGAGCGGTCGAGAAGGCCGTTGAAGTCGTATTGGGTGCCATCTGCGCCCCAGAAATGCGGGTCGTCGTCCGTGTTGGCAAGGGGGTTGCACTCGCCGCCCAGGAACGTTGGGAGGATGGCTATGTCCCAGTTCCGCACGGTGATGCCTGCCAATGAACCCAACAACGTGCATTGGCCACTGATGTCACGGGGAGGGGGATAGTAGGAAGTTAGCCGGCGGTTATAAGAGAGGGGAAGCGGAGGCGTTGACAAGTCACACACGGTGAAAAGAATTCTGAACTGAAGGAAAAGAAGCTTGTCACACGGAGTGAGGGCAAGTACTGCATTCAATGCTTTGTCATCGCATGACAAGGATAACGAATATCAGTGGTGATGCTTACATCTCGCCATTCATTGAAGGTTTCAAATGCCAGAATCTGCAGCTCACCTTCATGGCACACTTCTGTCAGCAATCCACAAACTGCCAAGAGGAGAGACGGGACACTCAGACGCTTCTTGGGCAGACGACCAGGCAACTCAGCGGTCGTCTCAGGGTTACACCTTCAGTCTTGGCTCTGGCTCAGTTTCTTGGCGTTCTACTCGCTCTTCTTCTGTTCTCAGCTCCTTGGTGAACACATCAGCAGTGTTGGCCTCAGTGGCCACGTGATGCAGACGAAGTTGACCACGCTGCTGCAGCTCTCGAGCAAGAAAGTAGCGCAGAGCAATGTGCTTCGTCCTGTGCTCCAGTCTGTGCTCCTCACACAAGGCAATGGCTGCCTTGTTGTCAACGTACAGCACTGGAGGAGAACGAGGCCGCTCTCCAAGGTCAGTCAGCAGGTAGGTGAGCCACCGAAGCTCCTGAGCAGCCATGGCCGTGGCGTAGATCTCAGCCTCACAACTGGAGCTGAGAACAGAAGAAGAGCGTGTAGAACGCTAAGAGACAGAGCCAGAGCCAAGACTGAAGGTGTAACCCTGAGACGACCGCTAAGTAGCCTGGTCGTCTGCCCAAGAAGCGTCTGAGTGCCCAGTGAGAACAGGCCGGTCTCGCCCTCCAAGCACTAGCCCCATGCCTGACGTACTGCACAAGTAGCGTAACACCCTCTTAGCTGCATCCATGTGCTCCTTCCGGTGACAGCCAGGAGCGACATAGCGTGCTAAGATGCTGAGAGGGTATGCAAGGTCAGGTCGTGTGCAGGTCATCTGGTACATGAGGCAACCCACAAGCTCTGGATATGGGCCACTCGGCTCTACGGACTCATCCGAAGGCAGAGCTGAGAGCGAGTGTCCGGAAGCAGAGGAGTGGACTGAGGCGAGGAGTATGTGAAGCGGAAGCGCTGAAGGACCTGCTGCACCATGTGTGACTGAGTCAGGGTAATGGTGCGGCGTGCTCTGTTCCGGGTGATCCGGAAGCCAAGATAGCTTGTCCGTTAACCCAGGTCTGTGCACGTGTGTCTCTTCTGCAGCTCGGACTTCACGTGGGCGAGTGCGGCAGTGTCTGAAGTGGCAAAGACCAAGTCGTCGAAGTACACGAGGATGTAGAACGGCGGCAGCGAGATGTCGGTGCGTAGAAACAGCGACGGGTCAGCACTAGAGGGAGCGAACCCAAGAGCCGCAAGTGTAGTCCTTAGTGTGTCGTGCCACTCACGCGGCGCCTGGCGGAGACCGTAGACAGGCCGCCCGAGGCTCCACTGGTTACCAGGAGGGAACGACCCAGTGAAGCAAGGAGGGCGGCGCTGCCAGATCTCCTCGTACAGGCGGCCCTGCAAGAAAGCAGTGCAGAAATCAAGAGAGTGGAGCTCGTAGTCACGCTGAGCGGCGACGTGCAGAAGAACCCGAAGAGTGGTCATCTTTGGGGTCGGGGAGAAGGTCTGGAAGAAGTCAACTCCCTGCCGCTGACTCAAGCCACGAGCCACGTACCGCGCCTTGAAGTCAGGCGGAGAACCCAGCGGCCGCTTCACTCTGAAAATCCACATGCCACTGACGTTGTTCGCCTGAGGTGGGGGAACCTCGTCGACGTAGGTGCCTGTGGACTTCCAGGAAGCCATCTCTGCGTCCATGGCTGACTACCACTGAGAGGAGTAGGGACCGGCCATCGCCTCTGCGTAAGAGCGTGGGGTCGGGATGTCTAGAGCATCCAGGTCTCCCTCAGGGGCAACAATCATTAACACGAGATGGGGCAAAGCGGCGGAAAAGTACTGGAACTCCTCCTGCCTGTCCTCAAGGACGTCCGTGCCAAGAGCACAGTCACCCCCGACGGACGGAGGACAGGCAGACTCACACTCAGCAGACTCAGACTCAACAATAAGACTGGCGGTGTAGTCTAGACGACACGCGGCAGCAAAGTCAACCAGCTCAGCAGCTAAGGCAGACGCAGCAGCGGACTCAAAGGAAGGGTCAGTGACAACAGAAGCAAGGAGACGCGTGACAGTAGGACTGGCAGCACGAAGAGAGTCCGACTCCAGGTTGGTAAGAGCAGAAAGAGAAGACTGAGGAGGAGAAGGCAAAGGGGCACGCAGAGGAGCAGTGGACGGACGCAGAGACATCCTATGCGTGCCAGGGACAGGTTGAGGACGCTGACGTGAACCGCAACCACTAGGGCGAGCAGCACGGACAGGCGACGCAGGGCGGGACGCAGGCTCAAGACCAGTGGAAGACGGGAGACCAAGAACCTGCTGAAGGAGCGGAACGAAGTACGACCGAGGCCGTGCAGCAACACCAGAAACAGCAGGGACA